CCTGGGTTCTCTGAGTCTCAGCTTCCTCTTCTGCGGATATTAGGTGGGGGAGTTTCCCAGGGCATGTATGTGTCTACTTGCTGGCTACTGAATGCTTAGGAGGCTCTTCCCAGCCTGCCAGGACTGAGTGGTGGGTAGCAGAAACCCAAGGCATCCAGGCTCCCAGCCCCTCAAGCCTCAAGGGAAGAAACTAGGCAGAATGGAAGGCAGCGCTGCTCCAGTCCAGGACCATGCCCCCTGAAGCTTTTGCTCCGCCCTCAGCGTGTAATCCTTAGGCCACCCTGAGGCAAAATGGCCCTCAGATCCCCTTGTTTCTGGGGCCACATATCCAGGGAGGGGTGCCTCCTCTCAGCAGTTACAGCTCAAGGGCTGGATTACCTTCAGGGACAACCTGGGGCTGCAAGCCCATCGTGATGGTGACCAAGCCAGGGGGACATGTGTCTGCCTGCGCAGTCCTGGGTTTCTCCTCAGAGCCAGGAGTTACGGGAAGGGGGCTCTTTAAGCAGGAACGCTGGAAGGCGCCCTGAAGAGACCCCCTCGCCCTCCCTGCTTCCTCCTAACCTGGCCCCCACCCCAGGCCAGCCACTCAGGAGGACAGCTGGAACCAAGCTCAGTCCCTCTTTTCCCGGGCTGGTTCCAGTGTAGAAGCGCTTCTTCAAAGCAAAATTGCTTTACCCAATTAGGCGCCTGGGAGCTGGCAGGAGGTGGTGGGGGTTGTTGATTTTTTCTTCTTCTTCTTCTTTTTTTTTTTTTAGACTTTTAGCACGGAAGCTCTGTGATAAAGTGACTGTGTAATTAGGAATTAATTTCTCACTCTTGAAACTGATGTCTTACTTGGGGCCTGAGGGAAGTCAGCCCCGTGGTTACTCACCCCACTCAGCTGCTTCATTTTCACCTTGTTAGGAGCTAGGACAGGGGTTCAGAGACCTCTTTCAGGGGGACAGGAAGAGGAGGGGACAGCTTTTGTCGTTGCAGGTGGCCTTGGGCATATTTTGGGCGGTGTTGGACACATTAGGTGGGTTCCCCGGGTGTCTCCAGGGTGTGGGCAGCAGGGGAAGCTGGGCGTGAAGGTCAGAGGTGGGGAAGTGCACATGCCCAGTGCCACACTGTGTGTGTGTGTGTGTGTCTGTCTGTCTGTCTGTCTGTATGGTGCTATGGGTGCTGTTGCTGTTGGCCCAACTCCCCACACCCCAGACCAAGAATAGAACTTAGAAGTTGGGCGTGCTGGCACACGTCTGTAGTCCCAGCACTCAGGCAGGCAGAGGCAGGCAGATCTCTGTGAGTTTGAGGTCAGCCTGGTCTACAGAGTGAGTCCAGGAGAGCCGGGGCTACACAGAGAAACCCTGTCTCAAAAAACCAAAAAAATCAAACACAAACAAACAAGCAAACAAAGAATGGAACTCGAGCCCTCAGCCCCCAGCCTTGCCACTCCAGTCCCCAGATATCCCTCTGGTCTCTTGTTCGTGTATGGAGTCGTGCCTTGACTGCCCATCGTCACTATTCATGTCTTCTCCCGAGTAAATGAGCATCATTCTGGGTCCTTGGCTCAGTAGAGGGGATTCCATCCCAGCCAAGAGGGGTAGACTGTGAGGACAGAGTCAGAACAGGGGGCGATGGTGAATTTTTGCCCTTGGTGAGGAGAAGAGCCTCCATGGAAGAAGGTCGGACGGGCTAGAAGGGCTCTGTGCCATAGAGTGGGGTGTTTGCCTGAGGTGCCCTGTGAGCCTGCCTTGGCACCTAGGGTCATGAAGGTAGGAGCAGGGATGAGTGGCAAGGCCAGCCTGTGGAGGGCCTCGAAGGCTGTGGTCAGGGGCTTGGGGCGTTTTTCTGAGAGCAATGAGAGCCATGGAAGGTTTTAAGGATGCACGGATTTGTTGGGCTAGGGGGAAGGGAGGCAGGAGATAGGAGAACAGGAGGGAGCCTGTCGCAGCTGTCAGGAGACAGGGCTGGTGACGCAGTCTCAGCAGGGACAGTGGAGATGTCAGCAGCTGTCCCAGGTTGGGCTTGCTGGTGCAAGAGTCTCTGTCAGGATGGTGAGGTTCCCAGGGCAGAGGCTTAGTTAGACACATCGTTCCTGCCTCCCAGGCAAGTGTTCTCCCCTGTCCCTCCCACACGCATCCAGCATCCTTCTGTCATCTTCCCCTTAGGGAAGACTGAGAGTCTCTGGGTTCTCCACTGCGCACCTAATGTGTGCTTCTTATTCATCACACACTTACATCACTGCGCACCTAATGTGTGCTTCTTATCCACCAAATGTATTTAGACTGCCTTCTCCCTGAGACAGGAAACACAGCTGCAGCCGAATGTCCCAGCAGGGTCAGGGGGCACTGAAGAAGGCTTAGGAGAAACTGTGGAAAGCCTCTCAGTGTCCAGTTCATTCGTGTTGGGTAGGGCTCGGTGATATCACTTTCCCTTTTCAATCGGCTGCCAGGAAGCTTGGAATTCAGGTTTCGATATTAAATTATACAGGAAGTTTCATGGGGTGGGGTGTTTTTTTTTAATTGGAGAGCCTGATGGGGTCTCGGGAAATTTTTGCAGCTGGCTGCAGAGGGAGTGCTCCTGCCTGAAGACCTGGAGGGTCGGGTCCAGGAGGGAAGGGGCTGGCTTAGTGGCGCAGTGTCCCTCAGTCTGCTCCTTCTGAGCTGGGCGGCGGCTGCTCTGGCTCTGTCTTCTAGGGAACCAGAGTGTAGGGGTTGCTGGGTCTGAGGCCAAGTCCATGCACCGATGGGCTTCCCACGGCAACAGACATTGTTCAGACATGTTGCATTCGTGGGCCTTGGTGATATCCAGCCACACCCCACAGCCCATCCCAAGGTGCAGGGAGCCCTTCTCTTCTCCCCGGAACGGAAGACAATGCAAGAGAGCATTCTCTCGCCAGGAGGGCGGCCCCATCCCAGGCCCTGTGCGTTGCTCAGTGCTAATTATCCAGGCTGTGGCCCTGGGTGGTCCTGGAGGGGTGACAGTAGAGCTGTGGCCACGTGGGGCTCAGAGTCAGGGACAGGCTGGAGGTGTCCTAAGGATTCCTCGCAGAGGCTGCTCCAGAGCAGGGCTCTCTCCAGGATTGACAGATTCAGGTCCAGAACAGCGGCTCCACTCTAATGTGGCGGCCTCAAGCAGATGAGCGCAAGACATGAGGAAAACGGGGCTCAGACAGAGCCCTCAAACAGTTCCCCGCTTTCTGTCTACTCCCACCTCTCAAGCCTGCATTGCTTTTTGATGTTTCACAGGTGTGAGAATGGCTCCTGAGCTAGGCAGCTCTGCCACCTAGGGTCTTGGGCACAGTCTATGGGGACCCCTTCTGCACCCTCAGAAGAATGTACCCTGCACTTATGGCCACATCTAGAGAACCTGGGTCGGCAGGAAGAGAGGGTCTATGGAGTGGGTGAATGCTGCAGGGTGGCTCCCCGTGCTCAGGGTGTGTGTGTGTGTGTGTGTGTGTGTGTGTGTGCCAGCATGTGCCACCCCCACAGTGCCTCCGTCACAAGCATCGCCCAGCTGCTGGGAGAGCTCTTTCTACACAATATGAAAATGACAGTTTGGCTCACCCACGCATGGAATCCTCACGAGGCCTGCTCCCTCCTGCCTGCTCAGGGGCCCTCTTGTCCTCTCCCATGGCCAGGCCTCAGCCCCATCCCCTCTATAGCGCTGTACCTTTTCCTCTTCTTCCTCCTCCCCTCTCTCCCTTGGATCTTTGCCTCTGATTCTAATCTCTGTCACTTTTTCTGAGGTCACCCCTATCTGAATTCAGGCTAGGTGTGTGTGTGTGTGTGTGTGTGTGTGTGTGTGTGTGTGTGTGTGTG